GTCAAAAGTCTAATTAATTCATTATGAGAGAGTGTGAGGAAAGCATCAAAAGTATTGGCAAAGAAGAAATCTTTGAAAAACTTTCGTATAGATAACTTAATAGGAATATTATTGAAAAGTAGGACAAGGTTTCTCAAGCCAATACCAGTGATGTTAGGAGAGATCAAAGGTAAGTGTCTTCCATTTTTGGCTAATGTATTAGCCTGATCATTAAGGATATCTCCAGTATGTGATTTGACTTTAAAGAGGTTAATACAGAAGTTGAGCGTATTGTGTACATACTGAATAAGATTCCAAATGGTATAGTTGGGAATCTGTTCCATTTTTCTGTTGGAGAGTCTAGAATCAATAACATAAGACTGAAAACTATGGATGATGACAAGACTGTCTGTGTATATATTTAAAGTAATCGATTGAGGAGTGACAAGTATGGCGGTGAGAAAAGCATAAATCTCAGCTCTAGTTGATGATGGCCAATTTGATAAAGAGGCAGAAAAATGATGGTGATGAGCATTATTGTCTATACAAATCCAACCAAGACCTATTTTGCAGTTTTCTAAATGAGTATTGTCAAGTGAACCATCAGTATAGAAAATCAAGGGACTGGCATCAATGATTGCAGATTAAATGGATTTGAGTCAGGTTGAGTACAATGATTGCGGAAAAATAGAATCAATGATATTATCATGAAGCAAACGTGATGCAGGTAGAGGAGGAGTAGAATTATTGTAATATAAGGATGCAACACAGAAAATTTCATCAGGGGAATCTCTGAGATGATTTTTGATAGTGATCTTCTTTTCTTTTTTGAAATGAATTTTGAAGGTTCTGTTGGCATCAATGATAAAAGTACATGTTTTTTTAGGAGTATCAGCAGAAAAGAGTGCGCATCCTGAACAAATATCTAAGAAGTAGATACTATCATTATTGGTAGCACAAATAAAGTGTTGACAAGTGAACTGTGTAATATCTGAATGATTACTGATAATGATGCCATAAATAACTGATTGTAATAATAGATCCCAGTAGGCCACTGACTTTCTAGATCAGGGATTGTCATTAATCGAAAATGGTAAGTCAAAATCTATAAGAGAATTATAAATAGAAAGGGGAGTATCTAGTCTATATTCTAATTTAAATAATCTAGTACTTTTGTCTTCAAGAATGATAGATTCCAAAAAATCAAAGAAAAAAGAGTTCCCTAATGACTAAGTAGCATGATTAAAATTTCTTAGAAAGAAATTAGATTTTGAAATCAAATGACATCTATCGGTTGAGGTCAGCTGTTCTAAATAAAAAAGATTATGAATTATTAGCATATGCTGTACTTTAGAAAAATTGTTGAAAGGGATAATTTTACACAAGGGATGATCACCCCCCAAAATACGATTAGTAAGATACGAAGAAGAAGAAAAAGTAAATTTTGAAGAAGTGGAGTTGATAAGACTCAAAGAAACACCAATGTGATTTTTGTACGATTTTTGATGGAAATGATAAGACCAATATTCGCGTGGTGAAACATGAAGGGCACATTATAATTGTAAATTAAAGAGACTGATCGAAGAAATTCTTTCATAGATGGTAAAGTTGTTAAATTGAAAAAGTAATGCACTAGAAAGGGATTTAATCTGTAAGAACCAAAGGTCATTTAGATTGTAAAATTTTTAAAATGTAGCATTACATTAGGGATTGTAAAAGCGAATTTGCATTTTTGTTTAAAAAGAACACAAATAGGAGCGAAAAATTTGTCATATTCTTTTTTCGATAGAGGAGTGAGTTGTAAACAATATTTGATTAAAGAACAAAGTACCATATTAATAATGTATGAGATCTGCTTGTTCGTGAGAGGTTTGTAGGTCATCAAATTGACAAACCGATTGATATCTTGTTTGACTTGGTTTTTGACAAAGGATTGTGATTGTTTGGTATTGATCCAAACTCCTAGAAATCTAATTGAGCCCTTCTCAGGTGTAATATTTATTGTAGAAGATCCAAATTTTAGGTCAATACCATTAGATTGTGAGTGCAAAGTAGTTAAAAGTTTAGATTTGTCTTTGTTGAGTGTAGATCTGGTAAAGGAGTAAAATTCTTCAGCGATCTTGAGGATATTTTTGAGGACTTCCTGTGAATTAGCAATCCAATTTGTATCGTTCACATAAGCGAGAGAGGCCATAGTTTCGGATAAGTGGTAGGAAGATATATGGACTAGGTCAGTTATACCTTTATGTTTAATAGTGTATACTTTATTTAAATTTGCAACTTCACAGAGGAGAGGATCCAGGTAAATGCAACACAACAAAGAATATTTAACCTCTCCTTGATTAATACCAATTTTAACATTGTAATAGTCTAAGATACCTTATGCTATGAATACAGCATTTTTCCTTGAGGTGAAAAGATTGATAATTAATTGTGCAGCAAGTGATGGTATTTTAATCCTGTCTAATGCACGTCTAAAATAGGTAAGATCGACTTTGTCAAATGCTTTAGAAAGATCTTGAAGGAGGATCCAAATTTCCTTGTTGTTTTCATTGGCATCTTCTAAAAGCATATTAAGAATTTTGATTGGTGAAATGGTTGAGCCACCAGGAAGGCCAGCAAAATTACCACCTCTTAGAATATGATGTTTCTTAAGAAGCTTAGAGAGTCGATTGTTTAGAATTTTGACAAAACCTTACGAGCGGTTTCTAAAAGTGTGATAGGACGAGTTTGGGTGATATCACAATTCCATTCTGTTGGTTTAGGAATAGGATAGATATGAGTGATCTTTCATTTGTTAGGTATATTTCAATAGAAAAACACATGCTAATGAGTTGCCAGAGTAAATGTTGTGTTTTAAAACTAAATAGGTGATCATTTCATTAGTGATACCAGAGGGTCCAGCTGCTTTATCAGAGGGTAGTGATTTAAGAACAAATAACCATTCATCAAAAGTACTGTATAGTGCTGCCTATAAGATCTGGGTATGAATTAAACCAGATCTGAAATCTAATTTAAATAATACCAGAGGAATATTATGTAAAAAGAAGGATACTATTTAAAGAGGGGGATATATAATATAAATCATATGATTTCGCAAAATGCGAAAACACGAAAAAGAATATTTTCCCTTTTTTTACTTTTTCATACAACAAAAACTTTTTCTATGCAACTTTTTTTACTTTTTTTTAATATAAAAAAATGGCTCCATATGCAAATAAAAATACAAGTTGTGCTAGAGTGACTGAAAAACTACGTTAACAGTAGAACGCACGTGAGAAAATCACAATTATCACATATTACGAAAAAGGTCACAGTAAAAGAAGTACAGCTTCAAAATTTAAAATAGAACTTAAACAACTTCGTGACTGGTTAAGTAAAAAGGAACAACTTTTAAGAGTTCAACCAGGTATAAAAAAATTAAATGCAGGTGCATCTCCAAAATATCCTGCTTTAGAAGCTACTTTATTTGATTGGGTTAAAGAAGAAGAGATAATCAGCAAGCTGTTTTATGAACTATGGTTCAAATGAAAGCCAAATCGTTTGCGCAATAACGTGATTAGCGAATCATGTGTCCTAATATTGAAACTTTTGCTTTTAATAATAAATGGTTAGATGGATTTATGAACTGTAACAAATTAAGCAATAGGCATCATACTACAATCACACAACACTTACCAGATGATCTAATTGAGAAATAACAAGAATTTTTGGCATTTGTTATGTATTGGCATATACAATATGATTATCCTTTAGCTTTTATTGGAAATATGAATGAACTACCAATAACATTTGATTTGCCAAGTAATACTACTATTAATGAATTAGGAACACGTTCTGTTAGCATTCTTATAACAGGACATGAAAAAACTAACTTTACAGTAGTTTTAACTTGCATGGCTGATAGAACAAAACTCCCTCCTCTTGTAATTTTTAAACTTAAAAATGTTCTAAGATGTAATTTTCTATCAGGAGTTATAAGAACCAATCCAACAGGATGGATGAATAAAAATGAAATGCTTTATTGTATTGAAAATGTTTGGATTAAACGTACAACACTTTCTAATCCACAATCCTTACTTGTGTTGGATTCTTTTTCAGCACATATTGTTGATTCTATAAAATGTCATTTTAATGAAAAAAATATCAATATTGCTGTTATTCCTGGAGGATTAACATCACGCTTACAACCTTTGGTTGTATCAGTTAATAAATCATTTAAATCAAAGGTAAATTTTACTTTATTTTAAATTAAATTAATTAAATTATAATATTTAAAATTTAATTCTAATTAAATAAATTAAATTTTATAGATGAGGAGAAATTATAATGATTGGATGGCTGAGTCTATAAAAGAGTTAACACTTGCTGGTAAAATCAAAAGACCTTCTTATGAAACAGTTGTAAATTGGATTGATGCATCATGGAATGCAGTTGATAATAGTTTAATTCAACGGTCTTTTAAATGCTGTGGTATTTCTAACAATTGGGATGGAACTGAAGATGAGTTAATTTTTGATTTTAATTTTTTTGAAAAACCAAATCAATTAGATGATGAAATAGAATTTAATATTAGAAGAGGTGGAAGAAATAATATTAATGATATTGGTGAAGATCAATATTATAAAGATTCTGCTTATGATAATATGTGGGATTAGGTTTCTTTTTTTTTTATAATTGTAATAATTAAAAACGTAAATAAATATAAAATACTTTTTGCGATTGCTATAAAATATTCTTTGCGATTTTATAATTAAATAAAAAATTTGATTGGTTTATTATATAATATCCGGGTATTAATCAAAAAATTTGACGATTGTGATTGAATTGTACCCTAGTATTACTCACAGGGGGGTACTTTGCAAGGGGGGTACTATAGGCAGCGCTGTACGGTAATTCTATGATCGACATGCGACATGTATGTTTCCAGATTAACTTTTTTGGTGATTGATAAAATTTTGTAAAGTTTCGAGATTTTCCACTCAACCTTGTTATTTTAATAATATTTTTCAGAAGATTAAATGGATCAAGCAGTATACGAAAATCTTTCACACGCTCTTTCTTCAGATCAAAGTGTACGTTTAACAGCAGAGGCAAGGCTAAAAGAGTTGGAAAAACTTCCAGGTTATATATATAAATATAAAAGTTATTACGCGTTTGGACGCGTCTAGTCTTCAAGAGTTAATACTAACTAGTATTCCAACTTGTTATATAAACCATATAGAATATCCTATAAGTCTTGCTAAAATGGCAATTTCACAAGAAGTTGATATTCCGTATCGACAAATATCCTTGTTCTTTATTAATATTATTTGCTAGTTACAATACTCTCCTGTTAGATGTTTTTCTTTAATTTAATTATCAATTTTTAATTACTCAGCAGCAATTAATCTGAAAAATTATGTCGCGACGCATTGGTCGTCTTTAAATGATAAATTCATAGGACCAGAGCCAGATTTTGAGGTTCGCCATAATTAAACATAATATGCTGCTATTTGTTATTTTCTGTATTATAATTCTTAACTTAATTTAGATAAAAGCTGTTGTACGCGAATTAGCATTTAATGGATTATCCGTTCCTTCAAGTAAAATTCGCGTCGCTTCGGTATCACTTCTATTGTATATAATTATCGAATAGTTATTGCCTTTCGTGAATTATTTTAACGAGGTATATGTTTAATCGCATCATTTTAGGCTTACGTTGTATCAAAAATTGCGAGCAATGATTGGCCTGAATATTGGCCGGATCTTTTGGACTTATTAATATCACAATTAAAGTCTGGTTCTCCAGATCAGATCCATGGTTCTATGAGAGTACTTAATGGTAATTTTATATTAACATATTAGTTTACGATTGACTATTTATAATATTAAGTTTAATAACTTATTTATAATTGTACAAGAATTTTTTAAACACGATATTACGGAACAGCAATTTTCTCAAGTAACTCCTTTATTGCTGCCAGAGCTTTCAAGAATTTTGCAATCTGAAGGAGTAAGTAATGCTTACTCAGATATGTTTTTTTTTTATTTTATGTGATGTCGAAAATTGATATATTTATATTTTTATGTTTGAAGATTCATTCTTACAGAACTCGTGGACGTGCAATTGCGATATTTAAACAATGCATAGAAATATTGGTTATGCTTAAAGAAGAACATCCGGAAGCAATCGAGCCTTTTCTAAAGCCTATATTACCCGAATGGTTGGAAAACTTTTCGAATATTTTGAAGATGCGAACCATCGGTGACGATGAACGTGAAAATGAAGAGTGTGGATTAAAATTAGAGGTTGTAAAGGTAAAGGACAAAGTTCTTATTATTATAAATATTAACATAATTCTACAACAAAACAAAAAAATTTAATCAATTTGTTTAAATCGTAGTGTTTGAATTATTTAATAAAACATTTCCCGAAACTACTTTCTGGTTATCTTCTTATGTTATTGGAACCGATATGGCTGGATTTGATTCATCAACGGGATAGATATCCTTTATATATAATTTATAATTATTAATTTTATTGTTTTTTTTTAATTCATTATTATTATTATTATTGACGATTCAATACGTTTATTAACATGTATGTCCGTCCTTCTGATGATCGAATCAATTTTTATCAAGATTCCGATGGGGATGTTGTCGGTTTTGAATATTTACTTTTCGCTCAATTCGAATTCGTTGGTTTATCTGTACGTAAAAAGGCAGCTAAATCACTTTTCAAGGATAATGATGGAAAAAGTAGTTTTTTAAAGCAACTTACTTGGATTGCTGTGTCTTACATGCAAATGACTGAAGAACAGGTTTGTTGATTATACTTAAGATAAGTTAAGATAAGTTTTGATAAACATGTTTGGTTTTACACGATTCTAGGTTGAAACTTGGTCGTCAGACGCAAATCAATATGTCGCCGATGATGATGATGAAACTTTTAATTATAGCGTTAGGATCGCAGCAATTGATTTATTACAAGTAAACATTCAATTTAATTGCAAAGTTTAATTTTGATCGTTTAATTAATCTAACAAATTGGTGTGAAGATATTACTAGATAAATTTTCGGAGCAAGCTTTACAAGCCCTTGCTGATACAACCCAGCATCTTATAGAAGAATCTGATAAAGCACGCGCTACTTGTGATAAGTGTTGGTATGTAGTATTTTGGATATTTATATTTATCATTGTTCTTAATCAATAAAAAGTTTTATTTTAAATGTTCTAGGTGGAAAATGCAAGAGGCTTGCTTAAAAGCAATTGGTTATGTTTCTGAGGAATTCATATCAGCAATTCAAGATTCAAAAGTGAATTTTGACCTCCATGGATTGTTTGAACACGTTGTGTTTAATTATGTTACTGCAATAGGTTCGCATAAATGAAATTAATTTACCGGATTCGAATTATTACTTCCAAATACATGTGTAATTTTTCTTCTTTTCTTTGAAGATATTCCTTTTCTTCAAGGTCGAGCGATTGTATTTGCTAGTCAGTTTGCTACATTCTTATCAGGAGAACTTGCGGCACGGTATATTGCTGCCACGGTTGATGCAATTCAACGAATTGAATCAATTCCTGCCAAAGTATCTTCGTTAAAAGCGTTGCAGAAGTATGTATATTTTTGATGTCATTATAAATTTCTATAATTTTATTTAGCTAATAACACTATTATATTAGTTTCTGTCGTTATTTAGATACACAATATGTAGCTCCATATCAATCTAATATAATTGAAGGAGTGGCGAGTCTTTTGAATGTTACATCTGAAGATTCATTAATTTTAGTACTAGAAACTTTAGAGTTTGCGATCAAAGTAAGTAAATTTACGATACATAAATAAATTTAAACTTGATTTGACTAAATATTTGCTAATAATTATAGATAAATAATGATGTAACAGCCAGATATGAACATGTGATAGGACCATTAGTAATTGATGTATGGATGAAAAATCCTACTGGTACAGGCTAGCTTTATATTTCAGTTTATAATTTATTAATACCTTTTCTCTATATATATGTACTAATGTCAACATATTTCCATATTTCAGATCATCTTATTGTTTCTGTTATAACGGATCTTTTTGAGTCTTTAGCAAGTAACACAGCTGCTTATGCCGCGTTTCAATCCAGAGCATTACCTTCTTTAGTCAATATAATAAACAATGCTACTGAATCTGCAGCCGTTGCGGTAATACGTCATAACATTTTTAAATTTTTTAAACTAAATGAATATATATGTAAAGTTTTTAATTTTGACACAGTCAGCAATAGATCTAATAACAAGTTTGGTTAAGGGTGGGCCTTCACCTTTGCCTACTTCGTACGTCGAACATATATTTCCTTCGTTAATACATTTAATGTTAGTACATGAAGATAGGAGTATATTGCAGGTCAGTAGACATTTCTTAGGTTATCTAATTACTTAACAAATAATAATCTACGAAGTTTTAATGATTATAGAACGGCGAAGTTTGTTTGAAGTATTTTATACAAAAGGATTGTGAACATATCTCACAATGGTATAAAATTATAATTTCTTTTTTTGGTATATAATTCATGTCTATTAATGAAATATTTTTCTGATTTAGGGTGGATTCATCTGGAAAAACAGGCCTAGATTATGTGATGCAATATATTGCAAAGTCTCTTCAACCATGCGAGAGCGAGTCTGCCTGTTTTCTCGGTGAACTAGTGGTCAAACTAATTAATAAGGTAAAAATAGTTCTCTTGATCGTAATGTCGTTTATATATTTCAGTTATTTCAGTTATTTTGATTATATTTGTAGGCGGGTAACAGAATCGTTCCCGTACTTCCAGACTTACTTAAAGCTGCCGCTACCAGGCTAGAGGGAGCAAAAACTGCTACTTTCATACAGGTATCATAACTAATCGTTTGCTATTAAAATCACGTTACGATCATATGATTTATTGTCTGACTCGATTTTAAACGACCATTGAAATGTTATTATTTTATGTGTAAACCAAATTATTTATAAATTACTTTTTCATATGTTCAGTCGTTAGTTATGATATTTGCGCATTTAATACTAAGCCAGTTGTCAACGGTCGTAGATTTCTTGAATACGTTGGACATCAATGGACGAAATGGATTAGAATTTCTACTTAATATTTGGCTCGAAAACCACGAGAGTTTTCAGGGATATTATAGTATTAAAGTTAGGTATATATATGGTACGACATATCATTGGTTATTTTATTGATCATTTATACTTTCTTACAAGATATAATTTTATAGTTCCATTGCATTATCAAAATTATTTCTTTCTGGTGATCCACGAATACAAAGTATCCAGGTTAAAGGTGATTTAATTGTCACAGATTCCTCTAGTATGTATTTCCACTCAATATTCTTATTAAAATAAATTATACTTAGATAATTTTAATTATTATTATTATTTTTATTTTTATTTTATTTATATAATCATTTACAAGGGATTATGACTCGATCAAGAACTTTAAAAAGTATGTTTGATTAAAATAATTTTCTAATCTTATCGAATTATCTCTCATCTCAAACATTTATATTATTCTTGTAGATCCTGACCAGTATACCTATATTTCCTCCAACGTAAAGATAATTAAATTACTAATTTCTGACTATCAGAACTCATCAGACAGTGATCTCGTAAAGCGATCCGAATTGGATTATGATGATGACGATGATGATGATAGCGTTGAAACGGACGATGGTGTAAGAGTTACAAATTAAATTAAATTTTATTATTTATTTTATTTTATTGCAAACAGTGCCTTTAAACAATTTTAATTGTCTTATTTATTAAAGTGCGATGAATGGGAAGATGTAGAAGAACCTTCACCGTTCGCTCCAGCAGAAGATTACGTTGTTCTTTCTGGTAGCGTATTTATGTTATGCATTTGTAATATTCAGTGAATTCTAAAGAATTTTTTTTAATATATAGAATACCTAAATAATAAGGGAACAGAAATAGACCTTGATGATGACCCGGATGTTAAGGATGATCCAGTTTATCTTACGAATCTTAGAGTAATGTCATTGAATTTTTTTTTTTTTTTTTAGCACAAATAAACATATTAACTTTATATTTTAGGATTATCTCACGGACTTTTTCTGTCATTGCGCAATTCAAAATGAAAATAATTTTGTTCATTTATGTTCCGAATTAAATGAAGAGGAACAACAAAAATTACGATCATTAGTTAATGACAATAAACATTAGTATTTTATTTACGTACATATATTACATTTTTTCTCCTAAAATAAAAACTAGTGTATTTTAATTGATTGGGTTTATTTATTAATAATTTTTTGAAAAGGAAAAGCACATTTGCGATTTTTTTTGTTGGAAATTTTTTTTATCACAATACTTAAATTTGATTGGTCGTCATATAATTTACCAAAAAAAGAAAGGCATTTTATTATAAATTACCGGATAAGGTTAAATAGCTAATTCATTAAAAAAAGAAATTAACGTTAGAACGGATTCGGAAATTCTTAACCATCTGTTTCACAAGTGTATCAGCTGATTAATCGGTCATTTCGTAATCTGGGAAGTTACACGTGACGGAATTTTCAAGTGAAAGCATAATTCTAATTAGGATGTAATTCCAATTTCCGATACCCATTATAAATTACCATAATACCATTGTTGATTTTTGCTTATTAATACAGTTGCCAATAATTGCTTAGTAATGCTTATCGTAATATCATTATCAATGAAAATCATATAAGATTCAAAAATCAATCAAAATTGTACTCATAAACTCTCTCTTCCATGTATTTGTCTGCATACAAGGCAATTAGAAAACTTGGAATCTTGTCAGACACCTTACGCCGTTGGTTAAAGCAAGGAAGAATTACTGCAAAGACGTCTCCTTCTGGTACTTGCCTTTACAATATATCTTCCCAGGATGCCGATAACACCACCGCCACCACCACCACCACCATTACCACCACCAAAAAAGGTTTCCTCTATTCTAGTGTCAAGCAAAAAGAGGATCTTGAATGGCAGAAACAACTCCTCAGCTTCTAATATCCAACTTATGAACTCATCAACAATATTAGATCAGGGGTCAACTTCAAACAGCTGGGACTTTAGACCTTATTGGAATGGACAAGTCGTGGAATGGTCTCAGAAATTGTGGTTACCCATCGTGACCGACTCTGCCTCTGATGAACACAAACTTTTTTCCGATATCCTTGAAATCAATACAGTCTTTATCTACCAAATGTAAGTAAGAAGAGCTACTATTCACTGACGAGAATGTCAGGTTAGAAAAAAAGCGTAAGATAAAGATCAGCATAACATCAGCACGCAACAAAAAATAACAATTGGAAACCATTCTCAATCATACACTGCTAATCAAAGTGTATCCAAATCATCCTCAAAAACAGCTATTGAAACGTTGGATGAGTTTGATGAGATATGCTTATAATGCAGTTGTTCGCTAGAGTCGATACTGCTGTTTCTATATCAAGAATTCACATATTGG